AAAAGAGGTTACTTACCTGTAACCATAGTTCTTTGAGTGGTCCTCTGTGAATTCACACATATGGGTATTGTCTGCGCCTGCGCTGACTCTCTCGGAAGATTCGAGAGCTAAAAGTAACATTTTTATGGTGTGATCCTCCACGAGGTATATGCTCCTCCCACCCACCATCTTCCCCAGTTCCTTAATTTTATCCACCGGGTATGAAGGGAAGAATTAATTAAATAATTACACATTTAACCCATGACGAAGAGAAGGGAAGGATGGGTGGGTTGTGTGAATTCACAGAGGACCACTCAAAGAACTATGGTTACAGGTAAGTAACCTCTTTTTCTTTTTCATGGCCTCTGTGAATGCACACATATGGGTGACTAGCAAGCTGACAGGTAGACCTTCAGCGTGGACTGGGAGAGACCGAAACTGAAGAGATGAAGGAGGTAAGTGAGTAGGGTCTTCAAAGATACAGGTACAGCAGGTAAGTCATTGTCCTGAGTATATTTTAGAAAGGACTTCCATTTGTTCTCATATAGGAGAGTAGTGGAAGGTTTGCGAGCCCGAAGGAGAATGTTCATGACGTTGGGAGTATCCTCCAAGCTGCAAGACTGAGAGAGGCGACGTCGGGGTGAAGGATGAGGCCGTGGTCAAGCGAGAGGAGATCTGGGTGGAGAGGAAGACGGAGCATGTCCGACAACATCGATACCAGGTGAGTGAACCATGGCTAGCGAGGCCAGTACGGGGCTATCAGGATCTCGTTGGCATTGTCTTGCCGGAGACAGACGATTACCTTCTGGATGAGAGATAGAGGGGGAAATACATAGAGAAGATTGTGAGACCAGTCCATCAGGAATGCATCTCCCAGAGATGTCCCTTCCTGCTCTGGACCAGAATCGGGCACATTTCTTGTTGGCATCGGATGCAAAGAGGTCTATTGAAGGTGTGGCCCATCGTCGGCATAGCCTCTAGAATATGACATCGTTCAGGGTCCATTCGTGAGTTCTTGTCGGAAGCCGACTGAGCCGATCGGCCAAGGTATTGTTGTCGGTGGAAATGTGGACAGCAATAGGGAAAACATGGTTGGAATAGCACCACTCCCAGAGGTCAACAGCTAGGTAGAGCAGAGAAGGGGAGTGGGTGCCTCCTTGCTTGTTGACATAGAAGAGTGCAGTGGTGTTGTCTGTTGCTAGCTGCACTACCTGTCCTTGGATCAGGGGAAGAAAGGCATGGAACGCCTTGATGATTGCCAACAGTTCCAGATGGTTTATGTGAAGTGGCAGTTCTTGTGTTGACCAGAGCCC